CTCTCTCACACACACACACACACACACACACACACACTCCTTTCTCCTTACTGTGCCCAAATTTCCAAGAAACCTTGTAGATACTTCTTGAGCATTAGCCTGGATGGGATGGAGAAGAATGTTATAGGAATGAGGTTCTATTCGAAACTAAAATAAACTCTTAAATTATGCCTTCAAAACTAAAATAACGTAAATAAAAAGAGTATACAGCTCTGAAAATTTTATCTATACTCCCTTTGTTTCTGGGATAATGTGAGGGCTTTGACTATCAGGAGTTGAAAAGATGACATACCGAGATGGGTAAATAGTTTTAGTTTGGTAGAAACATCTATAATACGTGGGGCTACAGTCATACATAATATTTTTAGTGCAGAAGCCTCCTCTTCTATGTTCAGAAAAGGATGCAAGCACTACCTTTTCCATCTCCACAACTAGTTTAGCCATCGTTATTCTTATCTAATGTCATTCAAGGACAGGTTGGAGATGCCAAAAATAAATGAGATGCACTATTTTAGGTGGTTGTTGTATTTAAAATTGTATATAAAAACACTGAGACAATTATAGAGGAATTCAGAACAGAGTCAGCTTTTCAGGCATTTTTTTTTAGAATGTTTACAATTTCCACTTCTTTATTGGGTTTAACTCAAGGAAACAACCTTATGAGCAAATGTAATTGATACATAATGTTTCCACTGCTTCTGCTCTCTATGAAGCAAAGTTGACTAATGTTTTTGAAGGGAACCCATTAAAATTTGCATATGTACTTGATTCTGCTAAACTTGCATAGGCCAGAATTAGATGAAGGGAGAGAAGAATAGAACTTCTGTAGAAAGATGCATGACTAAGGTGGTAGCATTTCTACCAAGATTTTCAGGTGAAGATGCCGAATATATCTGTAAAGAAAGATAAAACATCTTACAGATACATTACCTGCACTTTACAGACATCTGAGTGTTTGAAAACTTTTAAGCTATTACCTAAGTATTTGTGTACACGGCTTGTGTCTGGGACTTGCTTTGGTGGATGAATCTTGAGAAGCTCTATATGCCATATCTGGGACAAAGCTGTAATGGCTAGTACAGTTTGTCAGAACCTCTTTTTCTTTGTCATGGTGACCAGCAGCCATGTGGGGAGCTTCTATTAGCCTTTGTCCTAGAGCAGAGAGACACGGCACATGTTTCTCCCCTCTCCAATCCCTTAACCCACATGACTTTGTAGCGTGAATCAAAAACAAGCCTTTGTTATTTTTGGGCATTCAGATTTTTGGAGTTATATTGTTATTGCAACATTATCTAGCCTAGCATGATGAAAGTATCTTTTAGATTTTTTCTATATGTTGGGTGTTGATGAGTAATTGTGGGAATTACACATCTTGATACAGGCCATTGCTTTTTGATGTCTATTTCTTGCCTAGTTTTTTTTTTTTTTTAATTTACTTATGTATTTATTTTGGGAGAGAGAAAAATCACAAGCAAGGGAGGGGCAGAGATAGAGGGAGAGGGAATCCCAAGCAGGCTCCATGCCATTAGAGCAATGTCTAACTCAGGGCTCGAACTCATGAACTGTGAGATCATGACCTGAGCCAAAATCAAGAGTTAGACACTTAACCAACTGAGCCTCCCAGGCGCCCTTTGCCTAATTCTTGATCCTATTGTTTCTGATTGGTAGACAGACTTCAAATATTTGGAAACTAAATACTATGAAAGCTTACATGCTCACCTACAGATTTTCATGTGAATTTGTTATATCGTTTACATATTTATCTTGCACTGTATTAGAATTCTGTGTCATATCCATTAGCAAGCTATTCGTCCATCTTCTCCATACTACATTACACACTGCTAAAAGGAAAAGTGCAACAATCTATATTCTTATGGTACCAATTCTAGGAATACACATTTGGTGGAACTCAATAAACTTTAGCTGAAAAGACAATGAAGATGATGGCTGATGAAGAAGAGGAGGATAGGGATTTCAAGAAGAGATAATGCTCCAGGAACATGCATGTTCACAGTTCACTGTAAAGCAATTTAGTTTGTACAAATAATTTACTGCCTATGTGTTCTGATGTCTGCAATTCAGAATTTACTCTCAGAGTACATAGCTCACAACAGGTGCTATATACATACAATGGAATATTACTCAGCTATACAAAAGGACGAAATCTTGCCACTTGCAACAATGTGGTTGGAGCTAGGGAGTGTGATGCTAAGCAAAATAGGTCAGAGAAAGACAAATACCATATGATTTCACTCATATGTAGAATTTAAGAAACAAAACAAATAAGCCAAGGGGAAAAAGAGAGGCAAAGCAAGAAAGGGACTCTTAACTACAGAGAATACACAGATGGTTACCAAAATGGGAGCAATAGTGAGTGGGGGAATTGGTGAAATAGATGATGGGACTGAAGGAGTACACTTGTCATGATGGGCACCAGGTGTTGTATGGAAGTGTTGAATCACTTATATTGTACAACCTGATACTAATAGTATACTGTATGTTAACTGGAATTTATATAAAAACTTTTAAAAAAGTGTTTAGAAGAACAACCGGATGAAATAAATACGAGGATTAGCAGAGGACATTGTGTTTCTAGGGGGAAATGGTAAACCGATACATTTTAGACATTCATTATGTATTGGATGTCTGTCTCAGTGGGAATTCTTTGGGGGAAGTATATTCTAGTCTTTGGAGTAAAACCTTTGCCAACTCACAATGCATTGTCTTTCTTTTCTTACCATATGATTTTATTTCCATTTTTTCTGGCACAAGAAAACAGGTGAAAATGTTGAATTTCATGATAGGTCTGAGGGTATTGGGAATAATTTTTGATGCATATTCTCTGAGAAGATTTTGGTGATCAAGTAGTCATTTTGGCATTTCTTGTCTCATGAGCTTAACAGTTCTCATTATATTCCCTAAATAAGCACCAACAGAATTTAATGAAGTACATTTTTAATACTCTATTGTTAGAATGCATCCACACAAAATCTAATTATGGCTATTAAATCTTAACTAATAACATATTTTGTAAGTTTTGGTAATTTATGATAGAAGCATCTCCAATCGTTTAGAGGCAATTTTTTTCTAAATACATCTATGTGGTGCTCATGGGATGAGCAGTGAACATGAACACACTATTTAGGAATACAGAGAAAATCTGGTCCCATTCTTAAAAGCTGACATCAGAGTTGGGGATACATCTTGATTATAACCTATGATGAAAGCCATAGCAAAGAGGTGTGGGAAATGCTGTGGAAACAGAAGAAATGGTTAGTTGCACTAAGAACTGATAGAAGGACCATGGAGGGTTTCAATGAAAAGGTGATATTGGAATTGGACATTTAACAATATTTTGTCACTTTCCTCTAATTAAAATGTTGGAATTACTGGTTTACCTCCGTATACTTTTTTTGAGTATAGTTGACACAATGTTACATTAGTTTTAGGTGTTCACCTTAGTGACTGCGCAAGTTTATACATTACGCTGTGCTCATAATGTAACTGCCGCTTGTCCCATTTCATCGCTACTACAGTATCATTGAGTATATACCTTATGCTCTTTTCATTCCCTTGACTTATTGCATAACTGGAAGCCTCTATCTCCCTCTCCCCTTCATCCATTTTGCCAGCACTTCCACCCCCCTTTCCTCTGGTAACCATCAGTTCTCTGTATTTATAGTTCTGATTCTGCGTTTTGTTTATTTAGTAAGATTCCACTTATGAGTAGACTCATATGGTCTTTGTCTTTCTCTGACTTATCTCACTTGGCATAATACCTCCTAGGCCCATCCATGTTGTCTCAAATGGCACAATTTCATCTTTTTTATGGCTTTGTAATATTTCAGTGTATGTATATCCCACACTTTGCTTATCTGTCTGTTGATGACACTTAGGTTGCTTTTGTATCTTGGCTATTGTAAATAATGCTGTGATAAACCTAGAGATGTGTATATGTTTTCTAGTTAGTGTTTTTATTTTCCTTCAGTAAATACTGAATAATGGAATTATTGAATCATATGGTATTTTTATTTTTAATTTTTTGAGGAACCTCCATACTTTTTTCCACGATGGCTGCACCAGTTCACATTTCTACCTCCTTTTTGTCTACTTCCTCACCAATACTTGTTACTTCTGATCTTTTTTATTTTAGCCTTGATGGGTGTAAGTTGATATTTCATAGTGATTTGGATTTGGAGTACCCTGATTCTTAGTGATTTTGAGCATCATTTCATGTGTCTGGTGATCATCTATGTGTCTTCTTTGGAAAAGTATTCTGGTCCTGTGCCCATTTTTTAACAGGATTATTTTGTTTCTTTAGTGTTGAGTTGTAGGAGTTCTTTATATTGTTTGGATATTGACCGCTTGTCAGATATACCACTTGCAAATTATCCTAAGTATACCACCATATACTTTGGATAATTAGAGAACTTTCCTCTGAAAATAAACTCTTTGTCATGCTATGTACTTTGGACACTTAAGGATTTTAACCTGAGGTAAATTCTTAAAAGATTTAACAAAAGCAGTGACTAAAGATAATTAGAATAGGTTCTCAAAAGACTCTGACAGTAACTTTAACTCTTTAATTGTAGGATTATGGATGGGTTTCAGCACATCCATTTCTCATCTCTCAAATATAACCACTATTGAAAGTCTGAAGGAGACAAGAGGGTGGCTTTGGAAAAGGTCATTATTTGAAAATTGTTCAAGCAAAATACTGGCAATTCTTTTTGTAAGGATAATTGTTTTATGTTCCAGTTCTTACCAATTTCAGTGATCATCTATGGTGATAACATTGATGAACAGCCCTGGAGTGAGATGTCAGTATTTGATGGCGGCTGTTTGCAAACTCTACTGTGATTACATCCAGTTGTCGAATTGCTTAATTTATTGATGTTTTGCTGACATGTTTTCAGCAACATTTGTGATTGCAGATAACTCATCATTTCTCTTCGGGCTCATTATCATATGTTTGCATTTGGTTTGTCTCATGGCTGCAGGTGGAAACAATAGGTGATGCGTACTGTGTTGCTGCAGGGCTCCACAGGAAAAGCCTTTGCCACGCTAAGCCCATTGCTCTGATGGCCCTGAAGATGATGGAACTTTCAGAAGAGGTGCTGACGCCTGATGGAAGACCAATTCAGGTAACCTTCTCTACAATGTGGTTTGAGTAGTAGCATACCTTTAACGGAAGGGGGCAAGAAATTCCCTTCTGAATTCTACTTATGTGTCCTATAGACTTAGACAAGTGCAGAGGATGAGGCTTAACTAGAGAAAACTCATAGAACCAGGAAAAGAACAAGTGGAATAAGGTCCAAAATGGGAAAAGGTATATGAAAGGCAAATTACCGTGGAGAAAACAGAGCTAAAGAATTAGACCAAGGAAGAGCTCATTGTCAGTAACCAGCTCACCAAGCAAAGATAATAATGGGAATCAGGGTCTCAGACATAATCCAAAGAAGCATGAAAATGGGGACAACTTATTTCTGGTAGTGTACAGGTAGGTGTTCCTTATAAAGCCTCAGCACTCAGGGTTACTCGTGCATGTTATTAATGTGGCAGAGCTTGAAGGTTGGAGCCCAATAACAAAGAAAATTTTAACATGGTAGAAAATGTAGCTCCTGGTATGTTGTACCCTTTTTTGGTATTGATGGCTTTCCTCAGTCTAAGATCTATCTCTAAGAATGGAAGAGGTCACCTATCTCTAGTCTTGCCAGGACTCAATGGATCCCAGAAGTATTGTTACTGTGACTTCTTAGAAACCAGAAATCTTGTCTTTGGAGAAGTAATCGTGAATATAAGGTAGCCCTTTTATAACAGCTCACCAACTACGAGTTTAAAATAACTAGAGAAAAAGAAAGCCGTAAAATGTAGTACATTCCTAATTCTGTAGTTAGGGCAGAATAGATATTATGAGTGTTTCTTATGACTAAAATTATTAAAATGTTGTGTTAAAAATATTTTTAGGGGTACTTGGGTGGCTCACTCGGTTAAGCGCCTGACTTCTGCTCCAGTCATCATCTCACGGTTAGTGGGTTTGAGCCCCGCATCGGGCTCTGTGCTGACAGCTAGCTCAGAGACTGGAGCTTGTTTCAGATTCTGTGTCTCCCTCTCCCTCTGACCCTCCCCTGCTCACGCTTGCGCGCTCTCTCTCTCTCAGAAATAAAAACATTAAAAATTTTTTAATGTTTTTAAAATATTTAATACTTTTTAAGATTTTTAAAAACTATTGAGCACATCACTGAAGTAATAGGAAAGAAAAAATGTGCCAATTATGTTGCGTATGTAGACTGACAAAATTTAAGTGGGGAATTTAAATTAATTGCTCTGTCATGACATTACTTCTTTCTGGAAAAAGTCAACTTCAGTCCCCCCTTCAAAGAATATCCATAGGTAAAGTACTCTGGTGACTGAGTGGCTAATACTAAAAACAAAATAAAACAACCCCTCAGCCCCACCCCCCCAAAAAAACTAAACCCACACATTCACACAAGAAATCAAAGTATTATGGGTAATAACCAGTGGGAACCATAGATAAGAAAACAGTGAAGTATTATCAGATATCAAAATTTTCAGACAATCAAAATGACAATGTTTCATATAATTAAGGAAATAACAAAGAAGCTTAAAAATGTGAGGCAGGAACAGTACATTTGAAAAAGAATCAGAGAACTCCTAAATACTGCTAATCAACATCATACTTAAGAAAATAAATGGTCAGTGGACGAATTTAAAGCAGATTAGACATAGCTGAAGGAAAAAAATTAGAACTGGGGAAAGTTAGAACTGGGGAAATTACGCATAATCAGGTCCAGAGAATTAAAAATGTGGAAATATGAATAACATAATGTAAAATATGAAATATGTGGGAGGAATGGAGGACAGAGTAGGAAAACCATATGCTCAGCGGGGGTTCCACATGGAGGTACAGAGGGAATGCAAAACAAGGAATTTTTTTTCTAGAATAATAAAAGACATCAAACAGTTCCCAGACACAGTAATCCTAAGGGATTCTTTGAAGGCAAATCATAGGAATTGAAAACTGAACATGTCTTAATAATTCTGTAGTGTGTCGGAGAAAATAGTGACTTGCTAAATGACAAAGGTGAAATAGATATGTGGGGAAAGAATCGGCTGTTCCATCAAAGGTTGGGGGACAACTGGTTATCCATGTGGACAAAAACATTAAAACTGGATCTCTCCTTCATGAAGCTGTGCATAAAATAATTCCACATGGGTTAAATGTGAAAGGCCACACTATAAGACCTTAACTTTATAATTTGGAGTTTGTAACCCAGCATAAGGAACATTTTTTTTTTTTATAAACTAGTCAAGTCAAAACTTACCAAATCATAAAGGAAATAGGTGTAAATTTTTCTACACTGAAGTTGAAACCTTCCTGCTTACCAAATAATACCTATAAAGAATAAAAACATAACTATAGCTAAGAGGGTTTCCTGCAACACATTTAAGCATTAAAAGTATCTTTGGTTAACCTCATGAGTAATGGGATGACTATATATTGATAGCACCTTACTATAGCATTTCTACCTACTAGTTTGGCACACATTTGAAACTCTGATAGTATCACTGTTGGTGAGGAGCTGGAGCAGCAGGAAGCCACACACAGCTGGCGGGAGTATGCCTTCCAAATTAAGATATGTTGTGTGTGCCTCAATTTGTGCCTTCCTACATCCCAGCAACCTCACCCCTAGATGCTTGCCCAGAGAAGAACTTGTGCAGGTGTAGCAGAAGTCACAAGATTATTCATAGCAATGCCTTGATACGACTTTCAAACTGGAAATAACCCAAATAACCATCTAATAGAAAGGACTGCCTGTAATACACACACACACAGACACAGACACACAGACACACACACACACATACCTTGGTATACCATACAGTTGGGAAAATGAATGACTTCAGCTACTGACACCAACTAGGATGAATGTCAGAAACATAATCTTGAGCAAAAGAAGCAAGTCAGAAAAGAAGGCTGTAGTCTTGTCCCACTTAATTAAGTCTCAAAACTGGGAACGTGGGAAAAATGTATTATTTAGAAATACCTGCATTGATGGGAAAAAGTGTAAAGGAGAAAAAAGGAATGGTTACTACAAATTCAAGATGGTGCTTAACTCCAAGGGAAAGGAAGAAGATTGACAGGAAGCGATAGGAGACAGGAAGGAAAGTACAAGTAGAGTTGTAGTGCAAAATTACTCGTTTTACTACTCTTCTTTTATGTTTACATTTGGTGGTTTTAAAAAGTGGAAAGAGGGGCGCCTGGGTGGCTTAGTCGGTTAAGCGTCCGACTTTCGCTTAGGTCATGATCTCGCGGTTCGTGGGTTCGTTGAGCCCCCTGTCGGGCTCTGTGCTGACAGCTCAGAGCCTGGAGCCTGCTTCATATTCTGTGTCTCCCTCTCTCTCTGACCCTCCCCTGCTCACGCTGTCTCTCTCTCTCTCCTAGAAATAAATAAAACATTAAAAAAAAATTTAAAAAGTGGAAAGAGAAAGGATTTTCTAACCATTCTCATCGGCAATAAAGTAGGAAAGCATGGAGCATCCAAAAAAAAAAGAATAGTTTAAGTCCCCTCAGGACACAATTACCGAGTTATTCAAGTATAGGAATGACACTTGTACCGTGCCAGGGAAACAAAGTAATGCTGTCCCCAATCTGGATCTGCTGCAAACTGCAGATACACACAGGCCAGACTGAGTTCCTATCAGTTCTTAAATTTTCAAGACTACTAGCTGGGCAGTCTTATCACTTGGGATTGTTTTTCTGTGTTGGATTTTCTTTTATAGGAGATAAAATGTTTGTATTGATTCAGCCTTGTGAAAGCAAACTTAAATTACCCTAGAACAAATCTAGGGAATTGTGTTTTACATTGTGTTCATCCATATTTTTATTTGTGGCATATACCATTACTCTGTCTTATGAGTCAGATAGTCTTATTAAATCAGAAGAGGAGCTGTCTCTAAGGACTTAATAAGAATGCAGAAAGAGAATTCAGAATCATAGAACCACTTTAATAATTTTAGCTTCATTACTTATTCATATTGTTTGCATGGTTTGGGATTGTTTTTGGCATATTAATTTGACTTTGAATTGGCTTCTAAGTTGGTGCCATGGGAACATTTCTAAACTTATTGAAAGAATCTTTTATTAAAAATGCTTGGGTGTGCAGTAGGGTTGATTGTGATCAACTGCTTGTTTTACTTCAAACTATGTAAGTTTTAGGCTGCTTAAAATTTAAGCTATTTAATTGCAATGATTGTCCAAAATAAAGTTCCCCCAAACCTCTCCTATTTTGAAAAATAAACTGATAATGTTTACATGATTTTATAAATCTTTCAGGCACCTCTCATTACAGGAAATATGTGCCTGAATTATCAAATATAATTGCTTGTGAGTGATTGGTCATATCCTTGAATCATTAACTGTAAAACTGGGTTAGTTTAAAAAATTTTGAAAGTAACAAAAGAATGTAGTATTTCAGTTACTCAGTTTATAGTACTCAAGCAAATTATTTTTCTAAGTACTCTAATGAGACTCAGAGGCTCATTTTAGGCTGTAGCTACAAAGCATACACAAATATGGTCCATTAGGAAAAATAATCCCAAAGTGACTTTTAATTAAGCCTGCTTTCATAGAGGGAAGCAAACCATAAGAGACTCTTAACCATAGAGAGCAGACTGAGGGTTGATGGAGGGAGGTGGGTGGGGGATGGGTTAGCTGGATGACGGGCACTAAGACGGGCACTTGTGATGAGCACTGAGTGTTGTATGTAAATGATGAATCGCTAAATTCTCCTGAAACCAACACTGCACTATATATTAACTAATTAAAATTTAAATAAAAATTTGAAACAAAAGACTACTTTAAAAATTAATGATTAGATTTTTAATACTTTCTCAATATGATGTTTATTCTCCTGGGTGAACTTATAGAAATGCCAGCATTATGCTTCTTCCACGCCCCCACCCCAGAGGAAAACTGATTTTCCTGCATCTTAAACTTAACTCTTGAAGTATTATCAAACCTCCGTTCTTTCCCCTTTGTTTGAGCTAACTGTATTGTGACTTCACTAGAAAATTATATGACTTCATGCTGTTCTTTAACCTTGGGACCCTGATCTTACCA